TATATATATATATATATTTTTTCCCAAATTCATGTCCAGCTCTAATCACTGCACCCTTAGAGCTTGAAAATCCAAAAGACTGCTTATGTATGTAATGGATTGACGGCATAAATAGACAAATAAAACCAGACGCAAAAGCTTTGTGAAAACCAAAAGACATCTAATGGATGTATGTCTTTGTGGATTAATGACAACATAAATAGAAATATAAAAAACTAACACTAAAAGACATACATATATAGGCTCAACATCATATGCTGTGAGCTCCAACCATCAAATCTTTTTGATCGTTGGATCAACACACACTCGTGCCGATATGTGTTGATACGACGCTAAAAAAAATTCCTTGCAATCACCGGTAGATTGAAATCAACCCAACAATTCTTACCCAAAATTAAAAAGCTTTCTACTAAATTTATTTATAAGATTATGCCATTAATTTAAACTATAAGCATCCTCACTTGTACATTAACTAGTCGTGCCACATAATACGCATGAGGCTAAAAAACACAACAACTTTCCAATCATGCCTTATGTTATTCCACTAATTAACATATGACCATAATTTGTATATATCAAAAACAACACCAATCATATGAACTTGGAATACTTTCATTCTAGGAACAAATATGAAGATGAGAATAAAGCTCAAACTAAGAGGGGAGTGAAGAAGAGGGCCTCTACGTAATTGTCGACACTCGAGAAATAGGTATCCTCTTCGTGTTTGTACACAACTTGGGAAGCTCGTGCCATGTTAAGCGCGACTTTAACAATGGCCAACGGCATACCGTTCTTCGAGATGAGCTCCCCATTCAAATCTTTCCATAATCCTTTTATTTCTTCCAATATTCGGCCTCGACCTTCCTCTTCTGACGACAAATTCTTCTCTCGAATGAGTAATTGTATGCTCGATGCAAGATCTCCTCGTTCTTGCTCCTCCTATAGGCAAGCCATTGGATTTTATGATAATAAATAAACCGATTTTAAATTGTTCTTTCGCATACTTAAAAAAATATGAAATTCCAACGAAAATATATTCTCATAGAATTCCAAAGGCAATTCCAATGGATATTCTAATATTATTATTTCCGTTGAAATTTTTGTTGAATTTCGACGATTTTAACGTTAAATGTTTCGGCGTTGAAATATGTGTGAAAATCGCATATTTCAGCAGAAATCCATACCATAATAAAATGTTGGAAAAATGGTGTTGTAATCATCAAATTCATGTAAAATTCCAATAGAAAACTCATTCCAATAAAATATTTTCGTTGAGTCGTTCAAACGAAAGTTATACCGTTAGAATATCCGTTGAAATTTTCATTGAAATATATTATCGTTTTTTTTTTTATACGGTATTTTTATTTTTATTTTTTTGGTAGCAAAGATAGCGAAATGCATGGCGTACCTTGGCGGTTCCAAGATCATCCCAAAGGCGAAGAATTCGACCTGCGGATGAGAAGAGCTTTGGGTACGGTCTTTTCAACATTTGGGCATTTTGATCGGTTACACCTTCACCTATTAGAAAGAAGAGGTGCACGAGAGCCATATATGCGCCCGCAGTCGAAACTCCATTCTCTATGTACTCCTCCAAGTTTGGTCGACTCCCTCCATTGAACCACTTTGCCTCCACCATGAAACCTTCAATCATGTCTATCCACTGCCAAGAATAAACGGTTTTCGTTCACAAAACGTATGATATACACATATAAAGTTCATTAGTCATGTAATGACATCAGTTGCTACTTACCGTCGATTTGAGGTACGGAAGAACACTCCATCCATTTTGCTTGAGTACTTTGTAGCAAATCTCGTTCGTGGTGTTGTACAAGGCCATGTAGCATATTTTCATGTACTCGGGTAAGGTGTCGATGGCATCAAGATCCCATCTTTACTTACCACCGAATAATAAACTCCCGATTTTTAGTTCATACACAAAAAACTTAATTCAAAAACGGCGAAAAAACAATAAAAAATAAAATAAGATATTTACGCACCTTCGAATTGCATTCGTGAAGAGAACTAGTTCATCCATTTTTCCATAGGTGTCGAAAATATCGTCGATGACTAAGAGAATGGCGATGGTTTTGGCGAGCTCTGTCCGGCAAACAGAGTATTTCGGGTCGGGAAGGAGGCCCACGCTCCACAAGAAGCACTCCAACGGCCTATCTCTCGCGAAACTCAGTTTCTCAACGAGGCCAAGCTGCTTCCACCACCTGTCCACACGCGTAATTCATCATAACCATATTATATAATAATATTCATTTAAGTCTTGTTATACGAAATTCATGCCTTTACACGTGAACGTTAACTCTGTTTATAACTTGAAGGAAAGAAAGGTGCGAGCTTTATCGATAATTATCATAATTAGTAGGTTAATTTCCAGCATACCTTGTAATATCAAAGAGTTCCGACTGATGTTGAGCTTGAACTCGATTATAGTCCAAGACAGCTAGCTCGAGAAGGGCTGGATCGTGAGACTGTTGTTTGGCGTATTCTAGAATGTACCGTCTTGCTTCCAAGCGTTCCATTCTAAGGTGCCTCGGGAGTTCAAGAGCTTCATTTGTACCAATATTATCATCATCATCATCATCGGCCGAAATCTTCTTGCTTTGAAGGTGTGTTTTGCTGAATTGTTGGGCTTCCTCTAGTATTGTTTCTCCTTTGGCTCCCAAATGTGATGCTTCATACAAGCTCAATAGCCCTTTTGCGTCCTCGGCTAAGCATTCTTCGAATTTCCCACTTTTGACATCCATGAACTTGGAGAACACATCTAATCAAGACAACAACTTAATTAATACAAGGTTTTCTGTCTAAATCATTTGTGGGATAGAGTCCTTATAAGTGGTACATTTTCATCTTCTATCAAAAATCTCATTTTTACCCAAAAAAAAGTTCCTTATACATATTGATATATATGTTATATCAAATTTGCACGAAAATAGTAATAGTGATAGTACCAGCATCGGCCGGGAGTCCATTTTGGCGAAGTAATCGGAAGCGTAGAGCCGTGGTGAAGAGGTCCTCCTTATTAGCGTCATCATTTGTGGCATTATTATGAAAACTGCTCGAGTACTCGTCTTGGAGTAAGGCGACGATATCGTCCTCTAAATAGTATCCGATTCCCAGCCGTTGGATCGTGTCGACAAGTTCCAATCTCTCGACCGTTCCTCGACTAGTACTAGTTTGCACTTCTCTTCTTGTTCTTTCAAGCAAATATTCTCTCCTTTTGCTCTGGCCCTTATCTTGTTTCTCTTCACTAGGAACTAACTGCATATGCATGTAACTATAGTTATTAGGTTGTTGGACAAATAAAAAATTTATGTGGGAAGGCAACATAAGAACCATACTATCCAAAGTTACTGGGTATATATTAGTTTTGAAAACATTTGATAATAATGCAATAAAAATTTTCATAATAGAAATTTCGACAGGTGCAAAATACACGCGCGCGGCGCACTTACAACTGCAGACCGGCGTACGTATTTGAGCAAGGGCTCGTCGGCCGAGACAATAGGTGTAGATGTGGGAGTCGAATACGACATGCGGACGCAAGCTCGGGCGGGCGGACAATTGGCCATGGACTTGCTTTTCTTCACTTGCAATGGGAAAGAGGTCTTGGGGACAGCATGGAACAATTGTGAAGACAAAGGTATGTTGTTCCTTGTGCATGCCATTTTGTACACGAAGTTTGTGACCTTTAATTAAAATGTGAGTATAGTTAGTGAATTTGGGTGCAATATTTGGACTATTTTTTGGAACTCAATAATGATGAATATATTTGAAAGAATTAAAGGGAAACGCGCATGCCCCACGCGAGGCCAATAAAATAAGTAAATTAAATTAAAAGTTCTCCATATTTGACCCAAAATTGAATAATAATATTGGACGTCCTCTTCATAGGATCTGTGCCACAATAATAGTTGTCAATTATTATAATTTGATTTTTTTTTTTTTTTTCTGAAAATGAATAAACATAAGGGCGTTACAATTTAAAATTATTTAAATTGTAAAAAAAAAAAAAAAAAATTATCTTCTTAGCGAAGAACGCTTTGCCGAGACCGTAGGATTTTTTCGACACTTTTTCGAAATTTTTTTGATGCTCGTATGGCTCGTTGAAGATTCGGTTTTAGAGAGATAGATAGATTAGAGAGAGAGTAGAGTGAGATGGAGTAAATGGTATTTTCGTAATTGGGGGGAGGACGGTGACTAGTAATAGGGGACGGTAAATAGCAGTTCACTAAACATAATTGGCCAAACACTTATTATAATAATTCATCAGGCTGCCTAGATAAATAGTATACACATATGTAATATTATTATTATTATTATTATTATTATTATTATTATTATTATTATTATTTGAATGCAAATGTTATTATATCATTTAAAATTAATTTATTTTTTCTTGTACTTACTTGTAATATCATTTAATATATTAATTATTTTTTTTTCTTGTAGGTTTAATTTACATTTTAAATTTTGGATCTGCCACTAATTGCTTATACTATTTACTTATTTTACGTGTAGTGGGCAATACATAGATGTTTGACTAATTGAATTCAGACTAATAAAATACCTTAGTAGGACAAGTATAGCTAGCTTATCAAATTGATAAGCATGACTTCAAAGTTCAAATGGAATACGATATTTTTGGTGTATCCTACCCACGAAACGTAGTCGTTTGATCTTTCTTAATTAGGCTTTGCCTCCTTTTTCTGCATCGAAAAAAAAAAGAAAGTTCAAATGGAATAATGTAATTGAACGATAGCAATAGCATTAATCATAATTAGAACTTCATATAACTATAGTGATCATGTAATAATCAAGAAAATATTAACATCGGTCATATATTAATGAGAGTTTCAGGAGCGGTGAATGACTATGTTGTTTCGTGGTTTTGTACTTCGAGTTCTGAAGCTTATGCTAATTCATGTAAATTTAAATTTACATATATGATTATTAGGGTTTTTAGAATTATAAAACAATTTAAATTTCATTTAGTGAGTCTCGTATAATTGCAAAAATGAAGTATATTTTTAAACTAAATAATTCTTTTGTTTGTTATCTGTTTTTCATATATGATCTATCAAATTAATTATTTTCTGATAACCTTCAGTTTGACATCCATATTGCATATATAAAATAAAAAATTATATATATTTTTATAATAAAAATTAAGTAATCAACTAATATTGATTGAATAATAGTAAAATTATTTATCAATTAAATAAACTACAAAGTTATATGTGATATTTTTTTTTAAAAAAAAATATTATAATAAAGACAGATAAATCGTACAAAGGGATGAGTGTTGCTTTAAATAAAAATAATAATCTAATTTTTGAAAGTATTTTAAATTTTAGACAACGACCTCTAGCTCTCTCTGTAAATTTAAGTATAAATATTTTAACTAGAAACTCATGTAATACATGGGAATTTGTAATAGTATTTACTTATTCAATTGAACTGTACATTGTTTTTTATGAAGGATTTGTTTTTTAAAGTAGTATAGTAATTCTGTTTGTGTAATAATTAACTTTTTATTATATTCTAAATAGTTAATAGTCCATAATTTTTGTAAAATTCTCCCTATATATACTTCTCGAATGCGTTGAGCCTACGTGATTGCTTCTGGTGCTTCGGAATCCTACTTGGCGAAGAATCATGCTTCGTAATTAGGTTTGGACAAATAATATTGATATATTAATAATTAATAATCTAGGTTCGGACATTCCATAAATATTATTTATCTAACTTAGGTATTTTAATATCATTTGTACTAACATAACCTTTAATTATTTGTAATTTTGCATAGTGAGGCACTAAGTGACTAATATATCTCTGACTTTGATTTGTATCCTTCAATTAGCTATTGAATTGTAAATGTATTTTAAAAATTGATAACTTTTGTATATCTTATCGGTTTTACATATATTATATATCAAATTAATCATCTTTTGATGATCTTCGATTTGATATCCATATTGTATATATATGAAATAAATAAATTATATATATCTTTATAATAATAAAAAATAATAATATTTATTAAAATTCATTAGAAAAATAAAATCATTTATCAATTTATATATTTATTTTTTAATGTAGTTGTAAGTTAAAAACTATTATAATATAATGCAGGTAAGTCGTACAAATAGAAAGTGTTATACTAAATACTCCCTCCTATTCATAATAATTGTCGTTTTGTGAAGTTGCACAGTTATTAAGAATATATTTTTTGACAATAATAACCCTCATTAATGATGATAGAGATGAATGTTTTGAGAAAAAAATAAAGAGTGAATATAAAAAGACGTGGTGTATTTATTAGCTAGATGGGGGTAATAATGGAAAAATATGTACAAAATATCCAAAACGACATTTATTTTGTTAATAGTTGATAATGCCAAAATGACATTTAAAAAGAATATAAGGTAGTATATAATAATATATATATTTTTGTAAAAGATATTTAAATTTTCAACTACTTTTTCACATTAATTTTAGACTCTAAGAAAAAAAATTAGCAAGTACTCGTGTAATACACGGGTGTTATACTAGTTAATCAATAATCAAAGATAATATTGAGACAAAATTAACAAGTTACGCCAACATATTAGGTGTACGATTTTGTTAACCGAGTCAAAGTGACCCAAAAGAATGATTCTCTGCATGTATCTAGCCCAACATATGTTTAAATCGATGTTTATGCCAATTTTCATTTATTTTCTTTTTCTTTCTCCATTTTTTCTATGGTTTTTGCCAAATGGTAACCGAATCGACCAATAGATTTTCAATTTGAAATATCATACTTAACCACGATTTCGCGATTTTATTTTTTGCTAAATAGAAATTTTGATTAATTTGGTTCGATTTGATCATTCGATTGAACATCATACAACGTGTCATGTCCACGTGCGATCAATTACTCGGATGGACGTGCATTCCATCCGACAACTTGAGTAATTGATCGCACGTGGACATGACGAGTTAGCTTTCGACCAAAATTGGGATAAAAGAAATATCCTCAAATTAATCAATTTACAAGATAAATAATTACGACTGATATTTAATAATCAAAATTTCCATATAATAACTACTTTCGGTACACCCTAAAATTAGGTGATCATTTTTTTTTTATTTTTTCAAATTTGTACATTCAATAATCTTACAGGAAACTATTAAGTAATTATATTGTACCTTATTGAGTTCCTTGTGATGAAAACTGATGCAAAGATAGCCAAATAGTTATCATTTTCACTTTTTCTCAAAACATTCATCTTTATTTTCATTAAATAAAGTTGTTATTGACAAAAAAAATATTCTTAATTAACGTGCAACTTCTCAAAACGGCATATATTAAAAATAGAAGGTAGTATGTATTTATACAAAAATTGAAATGAAGGCTTAATTAGACAGGTCTCATATGGCAACTAAATATAATTTAATAATTAATGTACGAGTTATTAGACATTAATTAGGCATTAATTCCAAGTGTCACACAGTACGGCGCGAATAAATGGAAGTCGCAGGTAGACGACTTTCAACACCCAATAATTTTGTTTCAACTAGTATCTAACTCATGCAAATGCGGGCTGTATTTATTTTGAAAAAAAAATATATATATTAGAAATTAAAAGTTATTACTCAATAAATTATAATACGTACGGTATTCAAAAAGTAAATGTAAAATCTTCGTTGATAATATGTCATATTATTAAAAGTTTTATTGTATAAAACATATTAGTTTGATTATTGAAGTCTTATTGTACACAACGTTATTAGTTTGAAACGTCAATATATATATAACTGGTTGTGACCAGAAAACGCTTTTTTTCTTCAAGAACAACCACTACAAGAAATGATGAAATTCCAACGGAAATCTATTCCAAAAGAAATATTCCAACGGCAATTCCAACGGATATTTCAATACTATTATTCCGTTGGAATTTTTTTCAATGGACTCTAACGGAAATTCCAACAAAAATATTCCGTTGGAATAGATTTTCAATTGGAATTTCCGTTGGATTTTGACGATTCCAATGGTGGATTTCCAACAGGGGTGGAAATAAAAATTCCAACGGAATTTACATATTCCAACGGAAATTCCTACGGTAAAAAGCCGTTGGATCATCAAATTCCATCCAAAATTCCAATGAAAAACACGTTCCAACAGAATATTTTTGCTGGAATTTCCGTTGGATTTTGACGATTCCAATGGTGGATTTCCAATGGGGGTGGAAATAATAATTCCAACGGAATTTACATATTCCAACAGAAATTCCTACAGTAAAAAGCCGTTGGAAATATAGCTGTTGGAATCATCAAATTCCATCTAAATTCCAATGAAAAACACATTCCAACAGAACATTTTCGCTGTAATTTCTGTTGGATTTTGACGATTTTAATAGTGGATTTCCAAAGGGGGTGGAAATAATAATTCCAACGGAATTTACATATTCCAACGGAAATTCCTACGGTAAAAAGCCGTTGGAAATATAGCCGTTTGAATCATCAAATTCTATCTAAAATTCCAATGAAAAACACATTCCAACAGAATATTTTTGCTGGAATTTCCGTTGGAACCATTCCAACGGAAGCTATACCATTAGAATATCCGTTGAAATTTCTATTAGAATATTACCATATGATTTTCCGTTGGAATATAACAATT